CCCGCCTCATATACCTAATAGGCGTTTTCTAAATGCACTATAATAATGGCAATGTATTTTATTTTCCCGCATAACCAATACATTACACACCGCGGATATGCATGAAATAATCAACAAGGCAATTTAAATGTACACAGAGATTAATCGATACCAGAAGTATGCGAAAGAATGTAATTGGCTACATAAATGATGCGCAAGGTAGTAAGACGACCAAGTAAGTTAACACGGAAAGTTGACCTGGGCAAAGGTGGAAAAACTAACTGCATGGACACAGTTTCCTAAATGTCGTCAGGTATTCACACTCTGTTAAGGAAATCGACCTACAACATTAATTAATATTTTCGTATTCTGTAATCATTCGGGGACAAATAAACTGTCTCTAGATTTGCAAAATTATTTTTTTACAGAATTGTCCGTTCCCGGATTTATCTGATTAATTTTCCGTGGCAAATATGTGTTGGGTTCACATGCTAGACGCTTAATGAACTTTAGTCTGTCATGGAGACGCGTTTCACCATGCCTGTTCTCTCGCCCCTGACGTATAACGCGTTTAGCATGAGGGTTATTTCCCCACAGATCTGCAAAACAAGGCGTTCTACTACTTTGTAATTTTATGGATTTGATTTTTAACATGAAGAAAAATATATAGTCGTATGTAAACTACAAGGCGACTTTGAATGGTCAAAATAAAGCGCGCTGAGGTCAAGGTTGTTGTTGGTAAAACGATGATCGGTAAGGATGTGAACGACTACTTCGCCAATTATGTCAAGAACCTACAGGCGATTCCATGTCTTCTCCAGCAGCATATTTCTTCAGCACTGCATATGGATGCTGTCCAGGACCGTTACATGCGACAGCTCGAGGCAGTTACTGTAAATACAGATCAAATCTGCGGTTCAGAGAAAATTATCTCAGAGATGATGTCATTATTGCTTGCTTTAAACGAGTTGTATGACGGAAAAATTTCAGAAATGAATACAGTAAGTTAATATTCATGCCTTTGCGCGAGAAACATAACTCTTTCACCTCCTATATTCTGGTCTCCTGCATACCCTAAAAAATTATCTGAGCATTAGATCTTATGCAGCTTGCATGCATTACTAGACGGTATTCCGTAAATTTATTGGCAGAGTTATGTTGGTGTTACATTTGTGTGCCCTCAGTGCAGGCAACGACATTCGCCCTACCAACACTGTAGCTGACAATTGCATTTGCTCTGGGGTACACTAGGGCATTAGTAGCAAGCTTTATGGTGTATGCTACCGCAGATGACCAAGCGCTTGATCATCTCGTAATGTTGTCTTAATTAGACACAAGAGTATGGTCCAGTTCTAAAAATTATCTCACCTTTGTTAATTAGTATACTCAGTACAGCCGTTGTCCTCCCTATCCCTGCGGACACCGTAATCACAAGTGTCTTAATGGGAATTAATATATAATGGCGCTTCTTGAAGGCAATTTAGGCCAAAGAAATCCAGACTTACTCTATTATTATACTTTATCTTCTATGTGTATACTTTGACATTCCTATCTGTTTTCTACCAAATATGGGACCGCTGTATTTCAGTGTACCTGAGATTAATAGACACTACCCTGGAAGACCTCATTGTTTTCAGTCTATAGTTTCGTAAAAGATTTTGGCTATTGTTGGTACGCATATATAATTTCATCCAGTTTCAGCACAGACCACAAACTCAGCTTAAGGTTTCTTTCGGGTTCTTTTTACCACTGTGTCTCAAAAGCCGTGTTTATCCCAGTGCGTCGGCTCAACCTTAGAGCAGTATTTACGAATAGGTATTGGTTTATTTAGAAAATATTGATTTTTAGAAAATTCACTTTATAAAAAGGTGCACACAGCTGGCTTCTGGGGCAACGTCGCATTTGCCATGAGGCGGGAAATTGCTTCACATAGTTTGATCTTCATTTTTCGATTTTTTTATGCTTCGGACACTTAACACGTAAACATTAAGTATCGGTCTAGTAGACCAGTTATCCCAGCGTATTAAGAAATCAACTGACCTATTTTCAACCATTTATTTTGCATTACGACCTTTATTTCTTGGTTTTCAATTAGTCACCCACTACATATGCATTCAAACATATTTTGCTGTTTTATTTCTTGACTCCCAGCTGGAGGAAGACCTTGGGCAAATATCAGAGCTCATGTTGGCATCTAAGGCCTCGGTGTTAGCGGACGACGCCCAGCATCTCTGTAGTCTGACCAGCGCATTTCAGTCCGGCGATTGGCAGCCGTGTAAAAATGTCGTAACTTCCTCTCGCAAAAAATCAGAGGAATTCTTCAGTCCCGTCGGTCGACCTGGGGTCTGTCCAGATC